TGTGTGTGTGTGTGTGTGTATATGTGTATATATATATGTGTATATATCAAGGTCGGTGGTAATTTTTTTTGAAAATCTTGTAAATGCAAGAACTCAAGAATACAGTGATGTGGGAGCTTCAAATTGATATCATAGGAGTATCTACTAAAATTCTTGGACGAGTTCGAGTGACGTCGACCTGTCTTTGAAAAAGGAACAACAAAACTATTCTTTCAGTGATCAAGATGATGAGGTTACACAAATATTTGTACACTGGATACAGGCTTATTTTTTGGTAGTTTAATGTAGACAGCATGTTTGTTTTTCTGTTGTTTTGCGAACAGACAAAGAAAATGTACAGGAACTGTGGATCTGTTGAATTGGCAGCAGTGTATGATTATACTGAAATCTGATGTGAATGTGTTTTTCCTCTCAGCTGGAGAATTTGATGCTGGACAAAGACGGACACATTAAAATAACTGATTTTGGCCTTTGTAAAGAGGGCATTACTCCAGATGCAACAATGAAAACCTTTTGTGGAACACCTGAATATCTGGCTCCTGAGGTAAGGCACTGTCTGGTGACACATTTTAAACACACCTGTGTTGTCAAGCTTGTTTAATAGCTTGTTTAATATCATAGTTTGGTCCCCTGTCTCTAGATTTGCTGCAACTGTAAATCTATTACTCATATTTTATGTGCATAAGAAGCTGTCTTGGTTGAGCCATGTAAAGTATTCTGTTTTTATTTGTTTTTCCTGTGTACAGTAAAACAAGGTAGGTGTGAGTTGATATGTTGACCAATGTCCAATATCACTAAGAATCATGCTACACCCAAGACACCCAATCACCCCAGTTTGTGAACTTGGGAATGAAGTGATGTAGAAGTTTCATGCCATGCCATAATCTCAGACTAGTTCAAATATCAGTGACCTTGACCTCAAGGTCAGAGGTCACGTTTTCTGAAAATGTTGTCAATGCGACAACTTGAGCACAAGGCAACATAGGATTTCCAAATTGTGTCAAGAGGAGTACCACTGGCCACCACCAGTGGGTTTTTTATTTATTTATTTATTTATTTTCCATTATAAATGCCAATACTGTTATACTGGCAAATAGCTCGGACTGCAAGACTCAACAGTCTCAAGACTCAACAGTCTTGATGGTAAAACAGCTTTTACCATCAAGCCATTCAACACCTCAACTACAACACTTGAATACCGACACCACACTTCATAGGATGCACACAGAAGCTGTCCTAAAGTTTCTCAAGAACATACTACACTCTGCACTGGTCACTTCATTTTTATTAGTATTTAAATAAAAATAAAATTTCTTACTCCGTCCAATACTGTACTAACTGCAACTCTAAAATCTTGTACTGCTCAGTTTGTACTGCTGCACACTCCTGCCACTTTATCCCATGTGCAATATCCCATGCAGATCACTTATTTTAAAGAGTAGGAAGAAAATGATGCATTTGATTTTTTTACACACTTAAGAGAAAAGATTAGCCCTGCTCTTTCAAACAGAATGGGTGATGTAAAGGATGACTGGTAAGAAGTTTGAACAGAAAAAGAAGAAAAATCATATAAAGAAGAAATATTTTTGACTCACAAAAGTGTGCCATTATTTGCACCAAATGCTATGGTATGCCAATTCAGAGTTATGGCTTTTTACTGCTGTTGAGAAATCGGTCTCTTCTTCCTCAGGTCCTAGAAGATAATGACTACGGCCGCGCAGTGGACTGGTGGGGTCTCGGTGTAGTTATGTATGAAATGATGTGCGGCCGATTGCCTTTCTATAACCAAGACCACGAGCGCTTATTTGAGCTCATCCTAATGGAGGAGATCCGCTTTCCTCGGAACCTCTCACCTGAGGCCAAGTCCCTGCTGGCTGGCCTGCTCAAGAAGGATCCCAAGCACAGGTATTAGCCCAAACTACTACTCTGTATGGATTGTAATAAAAATGCCTAGTTTACGCTCAAATAATCTCATTTGGACTGACAGGTTAGGAGGAGGTCCCAGTGATGCCAAAGAAGTAATGACTCACAAATTTTTTATCACCATCAACTGGCATGATGTGGAACAGAGAAAGGTGGGGCTTTCTTTTTTTAACTTCTTATTTCTATTTATCAAGCGCAGTCAGACAGTCCAATCAGTCATGTCTTCATTTAACAGGAACAGCAGTTACAAGTGAGTCAAAAATGAGATGATGGATTCTGGCATTCAGTGTAGCATTCTTTTTGCTCCATAGCAACATGACATGAGAGAAATAAAAAGTAACCAAATTAATAATAACATTCATCAGGAATCCCAACACTCACTAGATGTACTATAAAGTAACCACGTTTCACACACACTTGAATTTGGGTGAGGTGGGGTGACAAGCTCCTTACACTACGATGACGGTGGATGGCTGGGAACCTTCACAGACACGGATTTTAGATGTTCTCAAATTTTGATAAATGGTAAATGTCCATGGAAAGTAGCCATCAGGCCAATCCACATGTGATAGATTCCATTGTTATTAGGTTCTTTTCGTGGTGCAAAGTGTTGTTTTTTTCACCAACAACTTTTTGAATTGCAACCAAAAAGTTCGGCCTTCTCATCAGGCCATATCAGAGGTTTCCTCATGCTTGTGGAATACTTGATGTATATTTTGCAAATTTTTGCCAGATTTCAATGTTTTTCTTTGTCAGGAAAGGCTTTCATCCTGCAACCCTACCCCATAGTCAAGGCAAATGTAGAATATGGGAGATTGTTTTCACATTTTTAGTTGCAGAAATGCCTTAAATACATAAGGACCTGGATGACTTCTAATTTCCTACCTCACCTCTGTGCTTGTCAGTGCAGCATTTAATATTTTGGACACTAAGATTTTATTACAGAGATGAGAGCATGCCATAGTTAGAGAATGTAGTACGCTGCAGTGGTTTTAATCAAATCTATTTAATAGACTCCAATTTTTTCATGTAAATGAAGATTGTTCTGTACTTGCAAAGGTTAATCATAGAATTCCAGAGTGTTTCATGCTACGATTAATTCTGTTTACATTATATATGCCTCTCTTAGGCAGTGTCATTCAAAGGCATACGATACATTTTCATTGCTACGCAGCTGATACCCACTTTTATCAGTCCATGAAGCCAGATGAGACACACCAATTCGTTAAACTGTTTAAGATAATAAATGTCCTGCGTCTAAATTCTGATTCATTGGTCCTAAAAATCTTAGAAACACAGTGTCTAACCAGATGCATACTTTGGAAGCCATTACCTTGGCCTCCAGTAACACTGTGAGGAATCTTGGAGTTGTTTTTGACCAGGATATGTTCTTCATTAAACAAATATGTAGAACTGCTTTTCTACATATTTGTGTATTTTTCTACATTTTGCATTTATTACTTCTAAGCTGGACTATTGAAATTCATTATCAGGTTGTCATAAAAACTCTTTGAAATGCCTTGCGTTGATCCAAAATGCTCCAGTTGGAGTACCACCAGGTACTAGAATGAGACAGCATATTCCTCCCATACTGACTTCACTTCATTGGCTCCATGATAAATTCAAAGTGAAATTTAAAATCCCTCTCCTCACATACAAGTTCTTAAATATTTAGGCCCCATCTTTTCTTAAAGAACTCATAGTACCCTATCGCCATAATAATAGAGCACTTTGCTCTCAGACTCCTGGATAAATTTATAATTAGTTTAATAAGTAGCTCTTTGAAGGAAATTTCTGTTAGCTATTTTTGCATAAAGCAAAAAGCTAATTGAACTAATAGAAATTAATAAAAATATTAGCGCATGGATTACAAGTGTTTTTTACCCCTTAGCCATAAAAGGCTGATTGGGTATTGTCATTACAAAATCTTGTGAATGCAATAACTCAAGAAGGAAGTCACCGAGAATTTTCAAATTAATCAGAATTTTTAATTAATCTCAAGTTTAGAGGTCAAGTTTTCTGAAAATCTTGTGATTTTGATAACTTAAAAACAAAGCGACGCAGGATTTTGAAGTTGAGACCATAGGTGTATGTGCTACAAGGCTACCACTGGTGGTCACGAGTATTGCTTAACATTATTGTGAGGCAACATGTTTCTAATTTTAGAGATATTGTGGAAATGCAAGAAACAGCCCTAAATATTTGTTTAATATGCACATTGAAGGATATATCGTAGTCAAAAACAACTCCAAAATTCCTCACAGTGTTACTGGAGGCCAAGGTAATGCCATCCAGGGTAAGTATCTGGTTACACATCATATTTCTAAGATTTTTAGGGCCAAAGACAAGAACTTTAGGTTTGTCTGAATTAGAGGTCATCTAGGTTCTTACACAGTAACTTTAATAACTACAGCATGCTCTGATCTGTGTAACAAGTATTGAATGCTGCATCAAGATAAGCACAGAGATGAGGCCATAAGATGATCATTTGTAACCTTCGTTAACCCTGCTTTTGTACTGTGATAAATTCAGATTTAAAACTCTCCAAATAAACCATTCCTCTACAGATAATTAGTTAGCTGTTTCACAGCTACTCTTTCAAAACCTTTTGAGATAAACAGCCTATCATTAGTTAAGACAGCTGGGTCAAGTACTGGCTTTTTACCCCATTGCCACAAAAGGCTATTGGGGTAATGTCATCACTTTACTGGGCAGGCCGGCAGGCTGGTAGCATGTACACCCAAGTTTGTGAATATGATAACTCAAGACCGAAGTGATGTAGGAATTTTAAATGGATACCCTAGGTATGAGTTATGCCAACTGTATTGTAGACCCTCCTCTACATGCATGTTAGAAATCCAGCATGTTACCAAGTGATATCTGTCTCTTCCAATCCCTGGTACAGCTGACCCCCCTCTTCAAACCGCAAGTAACATCAGAGACAGATACCCGGTACTTTGATGAGGAGTTCACAGCACAAACAATCACACTCACTCCCCCAGACAAGTGTAAGTATCTTCTTGTTGGACCCGTCAGCACTGATCCATCATTATTCAAAGTTAATATCACATTTCTTGGTCACTGACTTAGATTGCCTTCTTGTTACAGATAACAGTCTGGACTGTGAGGACCCCAGCCAAGAAGCTCATTTCCCCCAATTCTCCTATTCTGCTAGCATAAGAGAGTGATAGCATCTCTGCCACACACACACACACACACACACACACATGTGTATAAACACCTTGGTTACAATCATACAGCCATAAAAATAAGTAGAGCTTTCATTTTTAAAGAGGTGTTAGTCTTAGCACGATTTCAGTGCCTTGCCTGGGAGCCTTATTGTTAAAATCTGTCTTGGTCCACAGAAAGGAAAAAGCCTATCCACAGTGGCTATACTGTAACATAAGAACTTCACATAGCCACCAGTGCAGTTTAACAACATAATCAAGACCATCAGACCTATAAAAGATGGTGCTGCTGTTTGTACCATTCTTTTTTTCTTTTTTTTTATATTCTATGAATAAGCCATACAACTCCCCATGACACTTGTAAGTCCTTTAATTCAATCCTGGCTGTGACCTTTGGTGAAATATATGAAGAAGGGAGGAGAGCAGCAGTTAATCTTACTATTACACAAAAAATCCTGCATGTCTGTTTTTTGAACATTTTTTTTCTTCTGTATTATTAGCTCATTGAGTATTAAGGAATAAATTATAATATTATACAAATGGAAGGATGTGTACTGAACTCAATCCTTGTACAAGCTAACTGCAAAAAATGGACATTTGTCACTTTTTATTACTTTGTGCTTTAGAATTTTGGTCTCCCATGTGTTAGATATTGTCTTTGTAGCCTTTATCATTTAGCATTTTTGGTCCCCCAGAACACAAGTTCACTTGCTGAACATTTTACATCAGAGATGTCAGACTCATTTTACATCGAGGGCCACATACAGCCCACTTTGATCATATGGGGACCATACAAGTGAAACTCCACTTCTTTTCAGCATAAAGATATTTAACTGCACATTTAATCCCTGAGATATCTTAGTATACGATAAAGAAGTGCGTTTTCAACAGAACATCTCATTATTTCTGCATGATATTTATATTAAATTATAGAAAAGGTTCTGGTAGCTCACTGCCCAGACTGTCCCATATCTGTAAAACATAAATCATTTGTTTGTTGAATTTTTTTTTTTATTTTTTTTTTACTAAATTTTTAAACAAACCAATGTTAAATATAATGTAAAAACATTTTGATGCATGCTCAGTATCCAGGTAAGTAAATCCCAAAGGTTGATTCTGTTCATCCGGATGTAGTGTTTTCAGTGGGAGAAACGTTTCATCACTCATCCAAGTGACTTCTTCAGTCTCAGCTGACTCCAGGTTTCCCCAACCTTATAAACAGTACATTTGCACAATCACTGAAACTCGCCCACTAAATAAACAATGGGCTGTGAGGTCAGTTCCTTGATCATTAATATGCAAATTGTCATGACCATTGATTAATGGCCATGAGTAACATTCACAGAGAGTTGGGGAATGCCTACAATCACAGCATTGTAAGATATGGAAAGATGTACCCTTAGGCCCCCTCCTCGATTCAAAGATGATCTTTCTATAGCACTTTCTAGTCTCTACTCTCACTGACCACTCAAAGCACTTTAGAATATAAGTCTCATTTTAACTACACATCTCACAACTAGTCATTTAGCATCAGATCCTTAATATGATTACTATCTGAGAGGCCTTTCAGAAGATGGGTAGAGATTATCACTCTGTGGATAATAGTTCAACAGAAATAAGAATTACATTTCTCAACAAAAAATTGCAAGGGCCGAGGCTCAGTCCCCAACACCCACAAAAACCCATCAAAGGTGCAGATAAAATTACTATTAATTATAATAATAATAATTATTATTATAAATTACTATTATAAAATGTCAAAATTGAGCAAGACAGACAGCAGTGAATGGGGCCACTGCAGCAACCTCACCACTAGACCCTAGTGGTGAGGTTGCTGCAGTGGCCCCATGTGGGTAATGCAACACCCAGCAAAACCACGTGACTGGCCTTACCCACTGCGACCTACGTGACCCCCTACACCACAAGGGTGTGAGTGATGTGTGGTGGGCTGGGATCACAAGTTGTATGCCACAAATGTAAAAAAAAAAACATAATGAAATGTACTACATGTAGACATATTCAGTTCTTTATAACTCTGCAAACCTCACTTCAATTATGTATTACAATTTCTCAAGTAACATAATTTGTTGGATGGCCATTTATCCAAGAATTATTTAGGATGTTGGGGTGCAACATCTTTACCAGGATTTTTCAAAGATGTAGTATAACATTTTCAGTAATTTAACCACATAGAGGCAGTCCACCAACTCAAAAAGCAATTCAAGTGGCATTATTCAACACAGACATAAGAAAATCAGACTGGCGCTTCATACTTCTAGACAAGAAGCAAACTGGTACGAGTTTTTGAATTCATACAAACCCTCCCTTTATTGTTCCACTCAAGTGTCCTACTACAGGTTTTTGGCTGCTAATCTACTCTTTTACATCACTTCCACTTTCCCATACTACAAAACTGAATTCTGACATCATTGCTGTAGTCCAATTATTTTTCTGCCCACTTTCTTTAAGCAAGTCAGCCTCCACTCTGCATGGTTTAAATTGCACCACTGCTGTATTTCATTATCCCTTGCAGACTCCAGTTGACCCATGGTGTGTGTGTGTGTTTTGTTTTTTTGGTGGGGGGTCATTACATTGGATACTTTTTTCTAACTTTATTAGTTTTTTGTTTGTTTGTTTGTTTGCTTTTAGAAATTAAATCAAAATTAAATTCGTTACATTCCTCCAAAGTGCTCAGTGGTCGTGCATTTAGTCTGGATTGATGAATAAGAGAGTATCTAAGTTGTATGTCAACTTTGAGATGATAGCCCCTTATGCATGCAGATTGATCTTCAGTAAACTACCTGAAGAAGCGTAATTAAATGCCCAAATGGTCAGAGTGGCAGCAATTAAATCATATCACGTTCAGAGGATGTAAGAATTACATACTCAGATAACACTGCATTTCTTTCTGTCATCTCTTTTGCAGAATGTCGGGAGGGGGGGCGTGGCTTCAGTTTGCACACATGGGATTGTGAGGCTCACAGTTCTTTCCCCCAGCGAGAAACATGTTGCTGTGAAGAAGCCACGCCTCCATGAGCTGCCTTACATGTTGCCACACACATCCACGTCTCCTATGCTGCATTCAGGTTTTGTTGGGCTGTCAAAAAGCAGTGAGATTTCTGTTGCTACTTTCTGTTCTACACTAATAGCACTGAGTGTTATTGCGCTCATTTAAAAGTTACATGATTGCATCATCAGTAATGATAACAATAAACATTGCCAAATGTAGCTGGTGGGGCACTTTCCACTGGACCACACTCCACTTTTTTCTCCTTTTTTTCTTACAAACTTCCAGTATTGTTTGAAAAACATACAGTGTTGGGGAAACTAAATTGCAAGATACTACTTTATGGTGGATGATGTTTAATAACTGCAAAGCAGCTATAGGGAAAGATTTTATTTAAAGCTCCTTAGTTAGAATGTTGAGTGTCAAGGTTGATATGTAACAGAAGCAACAAGAGTGATAGGGAGCATTTACAATATGGTAATGAGACCTGCTTTGATGTATGGTTTGGAAATGGTGAAACTAACAAAAAAACATGGGGTGGAGGCCCCATCTTATCTTAATGACCTTCTAGTCACCCCATTAGAGCACTTTGCTCTAGCACTGCAGGCTTACTTATTTAGTACTTAGTATTTAAAAGTAGAATGGGAGGGAAAGCCTTCAATTTTCAGGCCCCTCTTGTATGGAACCAGCTTCCAGTTTGTATTAGGGAGACAGACACTAGCTTTACTTTTAAGATTAGGCTTAAAAAGAAGATGATCACTGAGAAGGTTCAAGGATGTAGTGAAGGAGGACATGCAGATGGTTGGTGTGACAAGAGGCTTCTAGAGATACGCTGGTATTAAACCATATGACGATTGAAACACTTGCTGTGCTGATCCCTAAAGGGAGCAGCTGAAAGAAGGAAAAGAAGAAGGAAAAGCAGTTTGACTGCTGTGGTTGTCTAATGAATGTATCATCTGGACATGTTTTCAGAGCACCAGTGATGAAAGTGAAGGGAAGCACACCTGTCAAAAGAGGTTTCAGTAACAGCAAATAATCAATTTCAAAATAGAAACCCTAAAAGTCCTTCATGGTCAGTAGTTATTTTTAGTTTCCATTCCAGAACTACTTGCCTCACTATGAATGTCCTTGACTTAATACTAATGCTAGTCAGTAACACTCCTCAGCAGTTCATCTGAAGCTACTTGTTTTTTGTGAATGAGTTGGTAAAAATAAGAGGGCTGTTCAGCAAAGTGGATGAAAGATCTAGAAGAGAATAATTTTGTCTACTGATGGAAACAATTTAAACATGCTTTCCAAGGTGAGCTTTGTTTTAATTCAGTGGTTGGTAAGGCAGGTAAAATACCCAAACGCAGAGTTTTTATTAGTTTATAATGTGTATTTTGTAAACACAAGGTAGAAAATGAAACAAAACCACAACACGTTTGTCAGGATATTAAGATTCAATAGTACTTTTTTTTAATTATAGTGAAGATTTAAAAGTAAGACAATCACTGAATTAATGTAAGCTAAGAATGCTACTACGCTTATTGCTTTCTCAAATGTCAAATTACTTTGAAACACATGAACGTCTGATTTTGTATTTACGACAGCAGTTAAACACACCATACTAGCACCAAGCTCAACCCTCACATGGCCTGTCCGGCGTCACCAACTAATCACGTATCTGTGCGCGGGATTGGCTAAACCGTTGGCGTTACGTCAGCATCTAACTGTTCTGTGCAAGACCTGCTTATTATCTGGCTACGTAAATGAACGTCATGGATGCCTTCAGTACACGGTTAGTGTGCCTACGTTCCTTATAGCAGGTTCTTCATGCATCACTTCAGCAAAGTAGAGCTTTGATTTGTTTTTTCCTGCTACTGACAGAGGCAAAGGATATATATTGTCATATATATGATTCTTCTACCCAAAATAGATTTTTAAACCTAGTAGCCTACTGGCGGACTTCTGCTACCAGGAGGGAGCAATTTTCTCTTAAGATAAAGGTGCTGACCGGTGAGTAAACTGTACTGAGTTCCACATTTGAAGGGTAACTGAACAGTTTTAGTCTGAGCCTCGTCTCCGTTTTTTCTAATATTGTGGAGTCAGTTTTATTAAATGTTTTATGGAAGTCGTACAGTCAGTGAATGGCAAGTTTCCATTTGGATTTATAACAGGTTTGCGTTTTTCCACTGAACAGCGCAGGCATTGTATTACATAATGGTGTTAGGGGTGGGCTTGTACAGTCTGCCATAGCGTCTTATCAATTTCCTCCTGCTGCAGGTCAGCATGTGCATGCTGTTATGTTTGCACAGAGTATATCAGAAAACAACATGATGATGAAAAATAGACTATTCTTGAATGCATTATTGTCCATTCTTGCAACTTTTCAAAGCTGACCACTTACAAGTCATTAACTTGCAGTCTTTTTTTTTTTTTTTACGTCATTCATCATACAGTACACTGTTATGCTAAATAGACTGTATCAGCCAAGCCTTGCTTTAGTCATGCAGGTGGTATTCATATTGTGCTCTCCTCCAGAAATGACAGAAATTG